CCTGGTGGTCAGTGTCCTGTCCCGGCACGGTCCGTGCCCGGTGGTCAGTGTCCTGTCCTGGCACGGTCACTGTCCATACCTGGTGGTCAGTGTCCTGTCCTGGCTCTGTCACTGTCCGTACCTGGTGGTCAGTGTCCTGTCCTGGTTTGGTCCTGTTCCTGGTGGTCAGTGTCCTGTCCTGGCTTGGTCACTGTCCCTACCTGGTGGTCAGTGTCCTGTCCTGTCCTGGCATGGTCAGTGTCCTGTCCTGGCACGGTCACTGTCCCTACCTGGTGGTCAGTGTCCTGTCCTGACTCTGTCACTGTCCATACCTGGTGGTCAGTGTCCTGTCCTGGCACGGTCAGTGTCCTGTCCTGGCATGGTCACTGTCCGTACCTGGTGGTCAGTGTCCTGTCCTGGCACGGTCAGTGTCCTGTCCTGGCTCGGTCACTGTCCGTACCTGGTGGTCAGTGTCCTGTCCTGGCTCGGGCTGTTCCTGGTGGTCAGTGTCCTGTCCTGGCTCGGTCTGTGCCTGGTGGTCAGTGTCCTGTCCTGGCTCGGTCACTGTCCCTACCTGGTGGTCAGTGTCCTGTCCTGGCACGGTCAGTGTCCTGTCCTGGCTCGGTCACTGTCCGTACCTGGTGGTCAGCATCCTGTCGTGTCCTGGCTGTGTCCGGTCACTCCTCACCCCACTACCCCCTGTCCCCAGGCCCTACTGAAGGACGCCAACACCCACGGCGAGCAGCTGGTCAGTCTGGAAGCTTTGGCCACTCGCCTGAAGGATTTCAGCCGCAAGCAGGACGGGGCGGTCATCCAGAACCTGGTGCTGGCGGCGCGAGAACGGCTGGGCAAGGTCCTGCAGCGAGCGGCCGAGCGCGGGGCCGCGCTGGAAGAGGCCCGAAAACGCAGCAAACAGGTGCCAGGACACAGACTGGACACTGCCCTAAATGGGTTTGGGGTCACAGGAAAAGGGGGAACGGTGTCACTGCCACAGCGCGGGGTCAGACGGGATTTTGGGATCAAATTCTTCCCTTTGAGGGTGGTTTCGCAGAGAAAATGTGTTTGTCCCATCCCTGGTGGTGTCCAAGGCCAGGTTGGAGAATCCTGGTCTAGTGGGATTGTTGCCTGGAAAGGGCAGATTTTAATAATGACACAGACACGGTTTAGGGGATTAAAAGGGTTTTATCTCGGGATTTGGGATCCCAAATTGATGGCAGAATGCACACCCGTGTATAGCACGGGTACAAGTTTTATAGGATTCAGGAATCAGCAAATCTATCCAGGATTCCCCAATAAGATACAAGTTTTATAGGATTCAGGAATTAGCATTTCTATCTAGGATTGCCCAATAAGAGACAAGTTTTATAGGATTCAGGAATTAGCAAATCTATTCAGGATTCCCCAATAAGAGACAAGTTTAATAGGATTCGGGAATTTGCATTTCTATCTGGGATTCCCCAATAAGATGCAACTTTTATAGGATTCAGGAATTAGCATTTCTATCTAGGATTCCCTAATAAGAGATAAGTTTTATAGGATTCAGGAATTAGCAAATCTATCCAGGATTACCCAA